TTGTGTATATATAAGGAACAAGTTGTTTAAGATTAAAAAATAAGCTATTTTTATATATTTTATAGATTTTATGAAAAAATTATTTTTAAAGAGATTTTATAAAAATAGATATTATTTTATGTGTTTACAATTATAAAAGTAATTAATAGTTAATTATTTTTATATTTCTTGATATCTTGAAATTTTTGTAATATAAAAATGATTTATTATTTAAATATTTTAAAATTTTATGATATCTTCCTCATTTTTTAACATTTTTTATTTAATACATTAGATTATTTTCAAGAAATAAAATAAATTTGTATAAAAAATATTTTTAAAATTTTATTTTTTTTAAATGTTAACAAACATAATAAAATCTTACCATGAAATAGATAAGAAATAAGTGATTTTTTTACAAGAAAACTGAAACAAAGGGGCTCAAAATATGTCAATGAAAATTGCGAAGAAGTTCTAAATTAAATCCCTCGAGTGCGAGGCATTGCAATTTGCATGACATGAAGTTTTCAACTTGGGCCGGCTACTTCCAAGGGAAACACCTGCAGGCTGACTTCAATTCTCTATTCCTATAATATCATCGGATGTCCTCCAGCCACATTTTAAAATTTCTATTGTGTTCACTTTCATAAACTTGATATTTAACTTAGTAAATATTTTACTGTTCTGAAAAATATTATGTTTAAATTTTTAACCCATGCAGGGCCAAAAAATAATACTCTAACTCATGCTATAATGTATATTATCATTTAATATCAAAACTTTCAAATATCCTTAACTATACGACACCAGCTTACAAGACATTGCATAAATAGTGTATTGTTAGATTGTCTAAATGTAAGTGGACATAAGACGATGTGAGAGGTCCCACATCGAATAAAGTTAAACTTAATAATTAATATATAGTAAAAAAGAAAGACCCATAAACTTGAGTTTTGAAATTTTGAATTAAGATATGATGTCCTTTCACTAATTTCATCCATCTCTCCTCTTCTTCCATTCCGGGCGATCACTTCTCATTCCTAACAAGTGATATCAAAGTCAGGTTTTACCCAAGACCTGTAAGCACGTTTTATCTATGAGATATTAGTTTAATTATTTGAGGTAGATATACATATATATTTCCAAAAGAAAATGCGTTACGTTGGAAAAAAAAAATTATGTAATAATCCAGCTAAAATATTTTATTCATATTATACACGCACGACGAATACATATATCGGCAATCAAAACGTTTCTACACTCTAGCTAAAAGATGAAGAGCAATAAATTCTAGCAGTGTGTTTAAGGGGAAAAAGATGTATTATATTTATAAATCATTTTTAATATTTTTCATTAAAACTAAAAAAAATCTTTAATTTTATTAATTTTGTCTAAAAATTCAACAAGTTCTTAATTTTACTCATATTAAACTACCTACTTTAAAAATAAAATACTCTAGCGTTTAATAAATTTTTCAACTTTAACAAAAACAAAATGATAAAGGATATAATAATAATTGAGGTGTCTTGTAAATAGAATCAAAGTAAACTCTTTCTCTTTACCTTATAAATAAGATGAAAGGAGTAATGACAAGCTAATTTGTGTATTTATTTACTTTTCTAAGGTGAAAAAGTAATTATCCTATCATGACCAAAAGTTTGTAAGTGGACGATTTAGAGAAGTCCTTTTGCATAGGATTAAGAGCTTTAAATAATCACTATAAACTTTTATTTTTCTTCTGCATTTCCTGTCCCCTCATAATTCAAAGTCTCCTAAAATATTGGATGAACATGTTATGGGTTGATATTTTTGAGGGTTGGGTTAGGACAACCCAACCTGACTATTAAAATGGGTTAAAAATATCCAACCCAACATATTTTCTCACAAGCTAATCGGCATAAATGCATTAGAATATTTTTTTCCACAAACAACATAAAATTTTTGCAATACAATTAACAGCATCTAAAATTATAAATACAACAGTCATCTTAATTTAAATTGTTCCACAATCAGCAGTTAAACACTACTTGACTACAAATTCCACTCAAATCAAACAATAAATTAACAATCCCACTTCACCATCCTAAATCATAATTCAAAATAACCGAGGAAAGCTCTACTTGAGTGTGAGAAAGGGAGAAAAAGGAGACAGAGACTAAGTCAACAAGAACCAAAGACGACAAGAATAGAATCTTAGTCAACGAGAAATAAGAAGCACCACTACCTCTGCTGTTACGTTAAAGACACCAAGAACGAAGACTTTGCACCCAAGAGCGCGAAATCAAAGATGATGAGAACGAAGATTTTGTACCCAAGAGCGACGGCAAGGTGAGCAGAGATGAAGGTGAAGATTGAAGATTGAAGACTTGAAGAGTGACAGTGAGCTGAGCACTTCAGCAGAGAGCCAGAGACGTGAAGTCAAGTGAAGAGCGACGGCAAGCTAAGTAGAGAATGAAGAGCGAGAAGAGCTTGAGTGGCTGAGTAGTGATTTGCAATCCTGTTGAGGCGTTGAGCAGACTAGAGAATGAGAGAAGAGACCAAACCGAAGAGCTGAGCCTGAGCTTGAGTAGTTGACCGAGAAGGCGAGAATGAGAGAATAAGGCAAAGGCAGAAGAGCTAAAGGCTAGAGTGAAGGATGCTCTAAATGGAATAGCCGAATAGGGTTTTAGCATTTTGCGTTTTGCCTTCGTGACTTGTGCTTTATGGACTAGATCATCAGTCATCATTGGACCCTCATCTCAGTCTTGACTGAACCAGTGTGCTGTCGTTACTTGTCAACCTGTGTGCAATGTGTAGCAAATGAATGTAAAAAAAAATTAAAATAGATTGGCGGGCTAGCCAACAAGTTAGTGGGCTTGCCTATTTATCTCGCATAATTTCATAGTTTAAAACAATTCAACACATTTTTTAAAATGGTTCGTTTTGCCAACCTAAATTATAAAAAATGATGGGTTAATGGGCTGGCTCGTTAGGTTGAACTTGTTTACCCGACTTTACGTAGAAGTCATTTTCATTAAAATTAATGGAATTGGGTTCCTTCTGAAACTCATGGAGCCCAAATTTCATTGTTTTGTCTTATCATCTTTCCCATCATATATACCCCTTCCTCCAATCCCAAACAACAAGCACCACCTTGATGGCAACAAGCACCACCTTGCACTCCGAAGGCAATCTAGGCAAATGGCTCAATTGAACTTCTTGACCACTCAACGACGCCCTCATTTTCTTCGTTATGTGACTTGCTTTCTTCATTTTGCATTCTCTCTGTAAGACCGTCGCTCCTTTCTCTATTCTTTCCCAACAAGCCAACAAGTCATGCCTAGCTTGCTTATTCCGAGAGTCATGGTTTATGATGGTTTTTATCATCTATGCCGTCGGGGTATTCCATTCACTTGCCTTTTCTATTTGACCTTCCAATCCATGGATTTTCTTCAATTGTTCTTTCCAAGCTTGCTTGTTCAATCTTGCGACAATCAAAGATCTGTGTCTCCTCATCCCCTTTAACAGTGGTTTGTAGTCCATCTTGAAGTTTTGTGGCGGTAACTTCAAAGGCAAAGCTTTGATTTCAAATGAGGCTTTTTCAATAGACTATTTCTGGCTTTGATTTATATTGTTGTTTCATTGAATCTAGATTTGTGCTTTTTGGATGGTGGCTGCAAGTTCCAGCCGGGGCTATTGGTCATTCTAGGTCAAAGCAAATTTTTTTTAGGGATGAGGTCATTTTAATATTTTCATATTTTAAACATTAACATTAAATAAAAATAATTTATTAATTCCGTGAACATATCAAATATATTTCTAAACCCCATATTTATTTTTATTTTTATCAAAATTATTTCTATTATATCAAACAAGCCTAAGAATTCTAGAACTGTGTTTAGATACCAAATCTTTCATCTTGTTCTTTTTTTTTATATATATAAAAAAGACAATTTTGTTTCTTGCTAAAACTTAATACAACACATTTAAAAGGTGACCTAATCAAGTGACTAGGCTTTGGAAAAAAGAAAAAACAACACAGAAGAAAAAATGATCTAGGATGAAGCCCACGTCAGATTCATGGTCCCTGGGAAGTAGAAGGCAGTTGAAATGAAGAAGACCCACAAATTGAAGGTGTAAACATGTGCAAGATCAGGTTGAACCTGTCTTCGAACAAGCATCCATGCACAAGGGTACCGTATAGGTACTTATGCAAGAACTAGAAGTTCTCAAGGAGGCAATAAGCCATTGGGTTGCCGCCCGAAACCAACGATCCAAAGATCATGATAGCTTCAAAGACAAGAAATCTTCAAGCAAACAGACCGTGACTAGGACTTTTGTGCATCCTAAAGATTTCGTCATCACCCACAGATGAACCTTGTGATAATTGAACCGAGGGCCAAAACTTTGAAACCTGCAAGAAAGAAAACAAGCCAGCAAACCAGCGAAAGGCAAGCAGCCTGAAAAGATAAGAAATATCATGATAATACCCATTTCATGATCTTTCAAACTAGACATGAAATGGCACAAAGCCATAATAAGTAGAATCTTATTAAAAGAAGAACAGAAAACAAACTCAACAATTGAAATAAGAACAAAATCAAAGGCACGAAATAGAGGAAACAAAGTGGCTAAAAATAAAAACCAGCATCTATAACACTACTCATTTCATAGATGTGAGGAAAGGAGAGAGACAAGAAGGTATTGTCAAACAAAAGAAGAAAATGATTAAGTTGGTTCTTCTCTTGTTGGTGTCTTCATTTCACTGCTCATCTTGTGCTTCTAGTGATATCTGAAACGTTTATTTAAACATTTCATCTTTATCCCTTGATCTCATTGAATGTTACTAATACATGTTCTAGTTATACTGGCTCATAATATGCTTTGGATTGTAAGTCATAGCTTCTCTCTTAATTACTGTTCAAAATAGAATTTTTTTTGGTACCAAAAAATTCATCAGGCCCGTTATCGTATTTCGATTTAGCCCATGAACGATCCCCTTATCGTGTCCAAAAGCAAGGACAACAAAAGCACCTACAAATTCGCTCGTGTCTACGCACCCATAAAAATCGTGGGCTTCGTCACTCGTTGGCTAAAAACTAAAAATAAAAAACTCTGCGTGAGCTTGCTGTTCTCCATAATTAATTCGGAGTGTAGTCTTTTATAGAACATATTGTATTGAATTCCAGAAGCCAACATATCCAGCTCTTTGATGGTTGCTTTTGGAGCAATTCATGATATGTGAGATTCGCAATCCCACATCTACTCTGAAAACAACATTAAAAGGCACCCCATTTGGATTGGATGAGCATTTGAGTGAATTTCCATTTCTTTCTGCATTTTCTTCTTCTGGGTTTAGAATTGCAGACTCTGAAGATTCTCAAACTAATGGGCGAGACGAAGCATAGTAAGAATGGCAACGATGGAAAAACTCAAACCAATGGAGTGATGATCACAGTCTACGTCGAATCATCAACGACCCGATCACGGAAACTATCGGATCCCGCGAAGAAATCAATGCCGCAAACACGAATCAAAACGTCGCGAACTTCGCAATCGCAAGGCTACGATCGTCGGGCTCTGCTTCTCGCTTATTCGAGACAGCTAAGAAATATAGGATCGGAATCCCAAGATGTTCAAGGGCCCACAAAACAGCAATCGAGGCATAAAAGCAAGGTATGTTGCTCAATCCTTTGCGTCATTGGAAATTCCAATAAGTTGCTTCAGAGTCGGATTTTATATCTCGTTTTAGGAGGAAATTTGCTCGTGGTTTCAATTCTGCTCGCCGTCTTCCCGAATGCTTCGGCAGCCGAATAGCCGGTGGAGATATGATCGCATGCCGATCTTGGAGAAGGAAGAATTAAGCCAACCGAGGAAGAAAAGGTCCAATGGAAAAACCAGTTCTCCGTTTCTGGTAATGCGAGATTTCGCTTTGATTCTATTATTGTCTCGGGGTGGTGGCATTTGTTTGAAATTTGATTCCTTGTTCTTCTTATTATTTTACTTTTGCAGAGAAAATTGAAGGGCCTGTTGAAAGAGATGTCATGCAAAAAAATTAAGCTATAACAGGGATGAAGGAGCTGACTGTTGATGCTTCTATTTGATTTGATATCGGGTTTCGCCCGAAACTTGATGTTAGAAAAGGAGGAGTTTAGACGAAGATTTGTTTCATCAACCATGTTTGGGTGTTAATAAGATCCATTTTATTTCATCGTAAACTCGATTTATCTATATTTTTTCCCTGAACTAAACTTACGCATTTAAATTTAAAAAGGACAAAAAGAATAGGTAAAGGGGGACGAATCCTGTGGGATCGGTATGTTGCAGTTTTGTGCTGAGCTACAACATTAACAGTCCGTAGAATCCAACGGCTGAGAAAGGGAATCAAAGTAAAAAGGCAGAGTTGGAAACTGGAATAGCTTGAAAAAAAGCAACATAAAAAACAAATGTTAATAGTGGCCTCCACTAGAGGAGGCGATGACGATGATATCATAAGGTCCCCCTTGGTTATCAAAAATGAAAGTTCAGAAGTACACTTACACAATCCATCTCATACAAATAATTTACAGTTGCTCTTGTTAAGTTTTTCCCCCTTTCCATTAACATTTTCAAATAGACTTCTAAAAAATATTTTAATAACCAAACAATATTTGGCAAAAATAAGAAAAAATATAATTTTTGATCCCTTTTATTTTATAAAATTTTGCTTTTAATCCTTATAATTTTTTTTAGTATCTCCATTTCTATTGTTTCAGAAGATTGAGTAACTTTTATTTTACTGACCCTTACAGTTTACTTTTTTCAATGATTTTAGTCCCTTAGTACTGGTATAACACGTTAAGATAAGTTGATACTATCATGAACAAAGAATGGAGCAAATGTAAAATATAAAATAAATGAATATACATACATATACATGCATGTATGTATGTATAATATATTGTATGTGGGAAGACAAAAGCTGCCGCCATCTACTGTGGGGATCGGATTCTCCAATGTCATCCGGCTGATTACACAAGAAGCAGTCAATCATATCTAACCGATCAAGTAGTCCATCCGCCTAACATGACACGTGCCTACTATTTTTTATTTTTAAAAAGTCCGTTCCGATCCTACATCTCAGGAACCGGACATTGCAACTCTTTCTGTGGCGATCGCTGCCAGAAGGAAGGATGACAGGGCGGAAGGGCGGAAGGCGGAAGGCGGAAGGCGGAGGGTACGAAAACACATCATGGCTGAGAAAGAGCTTGAATCCTGTTTTATACGGTGGGACTGGGATTTAATTCAATGGTTGAGATTGCTTCCTTATTCATCATTTCTTGACTGCAGATCATGGTATTGAAAACCGGATCGGATCGGCCGGGTCAACCCGGAAATCAGTGAACCGGTCCCCTGTCCGGTCTGGGTTTGCACTTAACCCGGTGAGGGAGTGAACCGGTATAACCCGATCAACCCGGGTTCAACCCGGTATAACCCGGTGGGTTGACTGGGTTAACCGGGTTAATATTTTTTCAGACTTTTACCCCAAAACGACGTCGTTTTTTTTTTTTTTTTCATTTTTAATTTTTCAGAGCTCTGAATTCGAAAAAAAATAATAAAAAAAAGTAAAATTGAAGTCAAAAAATAAAAAATTAAAGAAAGAGCATGCTAAGTCCAAAAATATAGTATTTTATTATTGTTAGACTTTTGAGTGGTTGGATTTGGTTGAATGTTTTTATAATTAATGTCTTTTTATTTAAATTATATTATTTTAATCATGATCGGTTTGCCACCGGTTCAACATTGAACCACTAACCCGTGACCCAGTGTCATGACTGGTTTAATGACCGGTCTTGTTTTACATACCTTGCTGCAGATAATTCTCGTCCCAGTTACTGGTATTCACATTCACAGCTACTAAATGGATTCCTTGCCACTTTAGACTTACCTCACTCTCCAACGGAACTAGCCACAGATATCCTCAACCTTGATCTCTTGATTTTCTCCCCTTTTCTTCCCTTATCTTATTATATTAAAGCTCGATCATTTTTTAGACAAAATTAGTCGCAGGCTTTTTATAATTGAAATCAGATGTCACAAATAAACTATTTTTCAATTAACATCTTGAAAACACTTATCTTGGTCAAATACAGAACTAATACTTTTCAAAAGAAAAGAATACTTTCAAAGTAGAAAATGGGTAGTGCAGAAGCACCTGAATGAGGAGAGTAATGTATCCGACTTGCTGGCTTTCAGATGCCATTGGGGTCCTAGTCATACACCAGCTTGACCGCGGCTTTAGAATCACCATGCCCTAACGTTTCCCCGTCACAATACTCGAAGGACTCGTGTACTTGCGGTCTATCTTCACGAAAGTTAACCATTTTAGGCGTTAACATGTACGCTATTATGGCCCAGCACAATAAACAAACCATCCAAGCCACGAACTTCCCAACATCAGCTAGGAAGCAAACCAACGTACCACGGCATAGAAATAGTCGGTTCAAGGCCATTCCATGTTTTCACCAATTAGTACTAATAGCAAAGGCAAATTATTGTACAATAATCAAAGCTGTACATGAAGTAAAACGTTAGAGGACAGAATCCAAAAGGCAAGTATTTGGGACATCTTCCCGATTATCGCCAATTGCCTATTTAATTTAGCAATGTATGATCAAATGACAGGCGCAAGACCTCATCTCCTGAACCCGACAAACCTAACCAGGAGGCAATAAGAACCCTGAAAATTGCCTCCTTCACAGTCTCTTTAAAAAACTTTAAATGATGATAATCAGATGACACTGCAACATTTTACAGATGGGATGACAAAGGCGGGGTCAGCTGTTATACCTTGCCAATAAATCAACATACACTCATTGGCATACTAGCAAGATATGTTGTGCCAAGGTCACAGAGAAATACTCCTAAGTGAATTTCTATAGCAGAACAGCAGAAACACAGTTCTTTCCTTGCATTTTTTTTTTCATAGTTTGATGTTAAGACTTACCTGCTTGCATTAGGGAGCCTATGCCTTCGCCTTCTTCTTGATCTTCCTCCCAAGAGTATTCTGTGGAGTCCACGCCTGGAGGCAGCAGCAGAACTTGTAGGGGCAACACGATTCAATTCAAAATGATCCATATCCAATGAATTGTATTCATAACCCTGACCATAACCAATATTTGACAAAAAAGGCCTATTTCTTCTTAAACCAATTGACCTCATGGAGAAGAAATCATCATCCACATATTCCACTTCAGATTCAGAGTCAGAATCACTATAGAAGGTGTGGTCGTTTGGTTCAAGCACATAATCTCCTAGAACCATAGCCCCAGGAGTAGATGATAATATTGTACTAATGACATCATTTCGTTCCCTCTCATACTCAAGTGTCTTCCATTTTTCTTTTTGTACAGGGTCCACATCTCGTGGTCGTGCATATGGATGCTTAGATCTAACATGCTTCCTAAGCTCCTTGTAAGTACCCACAAAAGAGCACTCGTCCTGCATGCAGCCTCTTTTCTTCCCATTCAAATACTTCCGTGCCGCTTCAACAACAGTCCAACCCTTTACCTGCCTTCGGCAAAGAGGGCAAAGGAGCTCTGGCACTTCTACATTGTCACTGCTTTCGCCAGCATTCAGATTGGAATTATTTGTTGCTAGTGGCAAACTTTGAAAAGTTGCTTTAGTATAGGCCTTTTGGTATTGCTCAAAACAATTGCTAAAGCGATGACTTGTAGCACACATATAGGGTCGACAACCATTGTTATAAGATGAACAAAGGAGAAGGACTGCATTGTGAGGGACCTCCATACAGACAGAGCAGGTTGCATCTTCCCAGTCTTGCTTCTCTGATGCTTTATAAAAGCTTTTCTTCTTCTTCTTCTTCTTCTCATCATCTTTCAAATCTTTCTGGGAGTGAGATGTTAATGGATATGGTGTTGCCCTCTGACATTGAGAATGGAGCTTCCTTTGCACCTTGCCTACTTTAGCCATTTAGAAAACTGAACCTGAGTCTTATCCAAGGGAGAGGGGAAATAAAATGAAAAAGGGAGAGAAATTCTGTCATAAATCAAAAGGAAGGAAGTTCCCAAAGAATAATTTGAACGTCTAGAATCCATTTTTTGAAAACTATTGGAATGAATTCATGGAAATTCATTTGTTAATTAAACCAACCAATGCTTTTTCTGCACCCATATTTTACCCCTGAAAGAAAAATAAAAGACTAATGTTGTTCAGTTCTTTCATGTAGCTTTTGCAGCTACATCTAAGCCACAAATTATAAATGTATGGATCTTATTAAGCATAGACATGGAAACACCACAATATCTTATCCCTGGTCCTAGCTACGAGCATTAATCATAAAGTTCATGTCTAAACTATTTTAAGAGGGCATAGCCCCCAAGGAACTATAATGTAAGCTCCTTACCCAATTTAAACACACAACAACAACGAAGTACAGAAATCAAAGACAAAAATGTAAACAGCTAACATCATCATCATCATGGCAGTTGTAAAGAAATTTAGAGAAAAAAAAATGTTAGCATATGAAGCAACATGACTTAATCTTTTCTTTATAAACTCTATGCATTTTCATTTTAATAATAATGTATACCATACAAATAAAAAATTGAATATAGAAAATAAGTACCAGGTCATTGACATTGTAAACCAAATTATGCGAAAGGAAGAAGTAAACAACTTGAGCTTCAATTTTGAAGCTCCTAAATCATATATGAAGGCCAAACAGTGAAAGATCCATTATTACGCCTCTTCAACCACATGGCTTTTTATTAAAGCTTGTAAATAAGCCACATAGGATTTATGCTAAGGAAGCACACGGCAGTTGTATTGCAGGCCTGTAGTAGAACTTCATATATCATAAATCATAAATTAGCATATAATTTATTTTCTATGATTAGGAACTGCTTACTTTGTCATAAGTAAATTCAGTAGATAACAACTAAAAATGCAATCGACCTAGCACCTTTTTTCCATTTATTTTATTGGTAAAAAATTGCTTACCAAAGTATTTCACCAAGCAAATTACTGATGATAGAGATGATAATTCAAGAAGAATAAGGACAAAACGTCTATATAATGGAAAAGAGACAAGAAAAAATAGACAGTAAAGACAAGAAATGCATTGTGGCCATCACTTCCTATAATAAAGGAGGGACATTTCATTGCTAACATCAACATTTTTAAGTTAAATATCAGCAACGGTTCAAAATATATTAAAATAAAATCTATAACCCAAGACAAATGTACAGATTCTCAGCAACTACAAAGCATGACAGACTAAAACATATGTTGAACCACATAGAACATGCTAAATATGACAGTCAATTTAACATGACAAACAGTTTTAAAGGGACTATTTGGGATGGGGGGGTGCCACTTCTGATTCATAAACTCAATTTATCTTGTGGAAAGGATAATTTGGTAAACCAGTCAACACGGTCAAAAAATTAACACAGTTGCTTACTCTAACAATCAAAAGGACCAAAATAAACCACTCAGGGAGTAATTAGCATCTCTTTCTCAAGAAGGCATAAACCTATATGATATGAAAACAGGTTACAATAACTCAGCAGCATTATTGAGTAGAGGATGATAATCAAAGAATCCAAAGGCAATGATCCAAAACGAAAGTTTTCTGCTGCTTGTTAATACGAAAGGTGACATTTTTATTACTTCCTGAAATTTTGTAGCAGGCATGATAAAATTGTTCATATTACTGACAGACTCCTACATATCAAGCCCCATTAAATCATTTCGAGTCCAAGTCTCTTGCACACAAGGACTTCCCTCACAGTTTACAAAGCCGTGATCGGCAATATACTACACTGATTCATTAAAACCCCCCATCACAGATGTAAATTGCAAAGTTGATGCAATTACAGATGACAAAAATAGGGCCAAAACTGCAATAAACTCAGTGATGAGAATCGGATGAATGAAACATGAGCATCAGAGATCAGCAAAACAAAAAGTGCGTCATAGCCGTGGAATGAACCTAGAACTTGGTTCCATCAGGAATATTAAGGAATAAAATGAAAGATCGGGAGTGACTAATACCGGTAGTAATGCGCCTCCGAGAGAAAAACTAGTTGTATAAGGAGGGGAATGAGAAGGAGGAGAGAGCCCCGATCCTGGCTCGAGTTCTTCAAATGGGAGGAAATAAGTAACCCCACCTGCTTTTGTGACCTCCGTGCGAGTTAGGTGTTAAGCCGATACGCAATCTCAAATCTCAAATATCAATATCAGTTTCAATGTCAAATATAATAAGAGCGATTGACGATCAGAGGCGCTCAACTTGAAATCCCAATCTCATGATTCCTGTCCCACATTCGGACGATGGTTTTTGGAGTAAGAAATGCTATAATGGTTTTGTTTGTTGAAGAGGATGACCTGAGCCCATTAGAATTAGACTGGGCCCCCACCTCCCGTCTCTGGTATGTGATTTCAAACCTTTCGAAAAATTAATGAGAAGTGGTAACTGCAAGATCAATGCATGATTCAGCATAGTAAATATATATTCATTATATATATCGGAGAACCTTAAATCTGAAAAATCCGGAAATTGAAATATAAAAATGAGTAAAAAAACGGACGAGGAGATTTCATATGTTTTGCATCTTATTTTTTAAATTTATACTATATTTAACTTTCGGTGAAATTAGACTATAATTATTTAAAATGTAAGAGAAACAAATAAGAGGAAATTAAGGAGATCAAACTTACATACTTACTATATTTATTTTCAATCAAATAAAATAAGTGAATCTAAATTTTATTATAAGTTTGTGCTTTAGCCGCCACACCCCCCCCCCAAAAAAAAAAAAAACAAAGAAAGAAAGAAACCCAGCATACAACTATACGAGCCAACACTAGAAAGTTTTAGGAATGAATTCGATGTTCGGCCCTTTCTCCAACAATACTTTCGCACATGACACCCATTTCCTATGCCTTAAATTCATAAGACTAAATTTTGATATTTTCCCTAAATTTAAAGCATGATTTATTTAAATCTACAGGAACACTAACTGATATCAAGTCTCGTGCTTTATTTCAAAATGGACAGCGAACCATAAGGTACCATTGCTTGAATAACCCGAAAAAAAAATCGCAGGTCAAAAAGGAAGGAAAGAAAAAAAAAACCAAAGAGAAGCAAACTAATTTTTATATCGACATATAATGATATAAATTTTATGGTCACTGTTTATAAATAAATAATTTAATTAACTCAATACTTCATTACAAAATATGGATCCCAGGTCTAATTATAAGATTGACGAATAATAACTTTGAAGAAATACAAATATACACTACCAATGGCATTAGCTATTAAAGTATATATGTACAAATAACACAATCAATACAGCCAATACATTAATCGCTCAGGGCTATTATCCATACACAAATACTCTCACCACCTTAACCAATTCAAGCACAACATTTTACAGCTTGAAGTTGATTCACCGCCTTGCTAAACAGCATACAAGTCAATATTCATCATTGGATACTTAAATACATACAGAGCATCCTTCAAGGCTCAAGTAAGAAACCAAAAGCTCAACTCAAGAGGTTCAGAAAGAAGCTCGATCCTCCTCAGTGGAAAGGCAAGATATCAGAAGCAACTTGTTTAGTTGGTTTTGGGGAGCTCCGGATCATATTCGTTTGTTTGATCCAAAACAATTGTTGACTAGGTCTCAAGAAGGAAGACGCTAAATTGTACAACACAAGCAGCAATTGCACCGATAATGGATCCGAGACCAACTCCAGCAAATTGAAGAATGGACTCAGGATGATTCTCAACATTCAATGATGAACAGAGCTGTCATTAGGAAACAAAATACGATAAGACAGTGGAAGATATACGAGCAACCCTTTGTACAATAATATGCACAAGTCTAGCGGAAATACAAAGGCAAGTTGCCAGTAAAGCATTCCACCAAAGATGAGTTAAAGTAGAAAGACACATTGTCCACGTTTAAATATGGATGAAAGCGATTTCAAGCAAGAGAGATACACAGAGAATCCTCAACTTGATATATTTTATAACACATTATTTAAGTCATCCAGAAATTCATGCTTCCCTCATACAAAAGTAGTAGGCCTCATTCACTTATGTCAAGGAAAGTTGCTTCCTACCACATAACAAAAAAAAATGTATTGTCAATTTTGCCCTTCTTGCCTTGATATAAAATATTTTAATTTTAAAATTCTTAAAAATAAATGTCATTTTATATAAATATTTAAATGCCATTTCTCTTGAAAATATTAATATGTATGTCATTCGGCCACTTTGACTCTTAATGTTCTTTCTTGGTTATTCTACACCAAACTTCCAATGCAAATAATAACAATAATAATAATAATAATAATAATAATAATAATAATATCTTCCTATTTACCGAACACATTTTTAACCCAAAAATCACATTTACATTTCCCTAATTTTCTTTTAAATAGAAACTCCATCCTACAAAGCATGGCTTTTATCTCTTTCATTTTCCTACTTTTCTCGTCTCCCGCATGCATAATTAACTTCCTACAAGAATAAGAATGACACTGGACTTGGACCCTACTCAAGACTTCCGCACCACATGCATATAATAAAGATCAAAATTCACTTTTCAAGCATGTCAGCTATATTTTCTCTCCCCTGAAAGTAAGTCAGTCAGTCAGTCATGGCATTCTTAATGCAAATGCAAATACAGGTGCTATGTGTAAGAAACTGAGAGCAGCAAAATCAGTTAATATGGAATAATTATTACCCTGGTGTCTCATACTTTACGATGACTGGCTAAATTCATCCCCTTCTGGCAGGTATAAAAGGAGATGCAGGGCCAGAGAATGTGGAAAGTGGCCTTTGGACGAATTGATGGTTTAAAAGCTGAGCAGCGGTGGGACGATCATCAGGATTGACTTGAAGGCACTGCAGGATAAAATCTTGTGCATCTCTTGAAAGAGAGTCAGGAACAAGAGGACGCTCACCCTTTCCGATTCTAAACAAAGCCTGCATCTGTTCTCAGAAGAAAAGATTCATGATCTCAAAACCACGCAATTTCTCAGTTATTAATATAATAAGAATTAAATATTCATTTATTGATGTAACCATATGAGACGATGCAATTATACTCGTCAGTAGTAGAGATTAGCAGCGTGAGTTATAGTTGGGCGCTGGGGTAGTTAGTCATTATGGCAAGCCTTGGCATTATATAAGGGACCCGAGCATGAATATAAAAGTGCAAACTGAATAAAAGGAACCATTCAACAGGGAATTATGCACCAAATGCTATCAGAGCTGGTGTGATCCCATGGCATGGAACTTCTGGAGAAGTTCAAAATGATAGCACAAGAAATGTTCGTGGACATGAGTAAAAACACCATGAAGGACCAACTAGAGAAAGAATAAGCCCAGTCGTATTCATGATATTGAGGGGGGGGGGGGAACATGAGCCCAGTCACAGCTGCTCCAATGCCAACTAAAAGAAAGAGAAAAATAAAGGGGATCTGAAAATGAACATTTGTGGGCTTATTATGCATAGTCCGGGCTGCTATCCAACAACACTTTCAGCTTTTGATACTTATCCTTGAGGACAAGGATGTTTTATAGGGAAAAAGTGTTGTTAACATATAATTATAATAGTCAGCAAAAGAGATTTTGTTATAGGTTATAGTAGTGAGTTGGGATAATTAGCGTCATTATGGGAAGCCCTTATATATTGGGACTCATGAATGGATGTAAATGTTGAATTGAAAAAACAGAGTCATTGGACTTGGAATTATGCACCACTAAACCAGTAATGAACCTACATTTCTACCAAATGTGAAAGTGAAGCAACAAAATATCATCGATAAATTACAGAATTTATGAAATAAATACGAGTAACATTAGCTACCAAATCGACATTCAATTGCAAAAGTGAACTTTTTTCTTCTTGTTAAATTGCAGAAGTGAACTTTGGCAAAGATAACTTAAACGATAGTTAGTTGAGATTTAATTAAAATCACTACTGAAATTGTAGAATAAGAACAGCATTTGAGGCCAAAGTAACAAGCAGGAAACATGAGTACGTGTTGAAAAGTCGGGGATTCTATAAACATTCTTGGTACGAGCTGCTAATAGTAATGGAAATGAAAGTGACAATAAATGACATACACATTCCAAATGAGAGTACGGAATTTGGCCTGTTAACATCTCCAACACAGTGCACCCTAGACTCCATATATCAGCCGGAAGTCCATAACCTTGATTTTTTCCTTTCACAACCTGCATATTGCAACTTAATAAATAACAGCAAAGCTTTAAAAAAATTAAATAAAACCTAACATTCCAAAAGGAGAAACATCTGCCATATTCAAGGATTACAATTTCCCATGAAAAGCAGAAAAGGAATGTTTCTTTTTATTCATGAAAACTCAGTGAATTTTGGTTAACAAATATTCAGCACTAATGTAACCCAGAAGGCAGAAAGAATGCGGCATTACTACACAAGTTTTATTATTTTATATCATTGATAAAATCTTAAGGTGAATGCACTAGATTTAGGTGAAGAGGTCAAAATGAAATGCATGGCAAAGGTTGATCAGGAAGAAAATCATGTCATTTAAGTTATTCAGTTCACTTTGACAAAGTTATTAAGCTACTTAATTGACCTCAGCGAACTTTAACAGATCATAAAAGTATGCTTTATTGCTTTTTCTATAAAAGTATAATTATTCACTTTATTTAGGTAAGTTATAGAAGTCCCACATCAATTCCATCACAAGATAAACAACCTTAATACCATTATAAATAGATGTAACAAAATCCTCTCTTTGTCAAGGATTTCCAAAATATTCTACCTCTCTCCTATTCTTTACTGTTTTAAATTACAAATTGATGCCCATGCAACATTATGAAGTTTCTTGGATTCAGCTTGTCTAGTCATGTGAAACAACAACAACAACAACAACAACAAGCCTTTATCCCACTAGGTGAGGTCGGCTACATGGATTGCAAGACGCCATTGTGCTCTATCATTTATCAAGCTTTTAAAAATATTATTAATTAAGAGATTGCGTTCAACAACTTCCAAGAGTGTTCTCTTAAACCTACCTCTACCTCTCTTAATCGCACTCAAAGTTATATGTTCCACTCTTCTCACTGGTGCCTCCTTTGGTCTTTTTTGTACATGTCCAAACCATCTCAACTGATTTTCTACCATTTTTTCCTCAATAGGTGCCACCCTCACTTTTTCACGTACGTGCTCATTTCGAATTTTATCTTTACATGTATGTACGTACATCCATCGTAACATTCTCATCTCTGCTACTCCAACTTTATGCTCTTACTGTCACGTTAGAGCCCAGCATTCACTACTATATAACATTGCCGGTTTGATAACAGTGCGATAAAACTTTCCTTTAAGTTTATTAGGCACCTTACAGTCGCAAATAACTCCTTTAGCTTTTCTCCAATTAAACCACCCAGCTTGAATTCTATGTGAAATATCTCCACTGATTTCGCCATCATTTTGAATAATGGCTCCCAAATATCTAAACTTTTCCACTTGAGGTATAATTTGATCTCTCAATTTTACTTCCAAATTATTGTCGAATAGCCCTTTATCAAATTTACAATATAAATATTCCGTCTTACTTCTACTCAGACGAAAATCTTTCAACTCCAATGTCCTCCTTCATAACTCAAGTTTGCAATTAACCTTTTCTCTTATCTCTGCTATAAGAACTATATCATCCGCGAAAAACATACATTTCGGGATTTCCCCTTGAATATGTTCCGTCAAAACATTTAAGATCAAGTTGAACAAATAAGGACTCAGAGATGATCCCTGATGTAGTCCAATCTTTATAGGAAAATCCTTTGTTTGACCATTAGGCGTTTTTATACTAGTTTTTACCCCCTCATACATATCTTGTATGGCTTTAATATAAGCAATCCGTACTCCCTTTTTCTCCAACGCTTTCCAAAGCACTTCTCTTGATATACGGTCATAAGCTTTTTTCAAATCAATAAAAACCATGTGTAGATCTTTATCTTTACAACGATACTTTTCCATTAATCCCCTTAGGAGATAAATCGCCTCTGTAGTTGATTTACCTGGCATAAAAACAAACTGATTCTCAGAAATACTTGTCTCCAATCTCAACCTGTGCTCAATTACTTTCTCCCACAATTTCATTGTGTGGCTCATGAGTTTAATCCCTCTATAGTTAGTACAATTCTGAATATCTCCTTTATTTTTATAAATAGGAATTAATGTACTTCTCCTCCACTCATCAAGCATTTTCTTGGACCGTAAAACCACATTAAATAACTTAGTTAACCATCTCACCCCTTCTTCACCTAAACATTTCCACGCTTCAATAGATATACAATCAGGTTCGTTGGCTCTACCATTTGCCATTTTCTTAAGAGCTTCTTTTACCTCCTTATCACGTATTATTCGATAGAATGACAAATTTTGTTCTCCTTTACCAGTTACTAAATCCTCCAAGTTACTAGATGAACCCCCTCCATCATTGAAAAGTTTAGAAAAGTAAATCTCCCATCTATTTTTAATTTCATCATCTGTAACTAAAATTCTTCCCTCTTCATCCTTAACACACCTTACCTGTTCTAGATCTCTTAATTTTCTTTCCCTACTCTTGGCAATCTTATAAATATTTCGCTCTCCTTCCTTCGTCTCAAGGCTCTTATAAAATTCTTCAAAAGCTTTAGAACGAGCTTCACCCACAACTCTCTTAGTTTCCTTCTTAGCCATACGGTACCTCTCCTAATTTTTCTCATTGTTACACAAATATATGGCTTTAAAACAGTTCTTATACTTGATTTTGTCCTGTACACTATTATTCCACCACCAAGACTCCTTATCTCTCGGACCAGAACCTTTTGATTCTCCCAAAACTACTTTTGCAACCTCCCGTATCTTTTTAGCCATATCCTCCTATATGATGTTAGCACTTCCCTGAGATTCCCAAATTCTTTTATCCAAAAGATTTCGCTTGAAAATATCTTACTTCTCACCTTTTAATCGCCACCACCTAATCCTTGGTGCTACTACTTGTCAACGTTTTTGGATTTTACTCATAATACACACATCAAGGACTAGGGCTCTATGTTGTGTCGTTACAACATCTCCGGGGATCACCTTGCAATTTTTACAAAGTCTTCTATCTGTGTTTCTAACCAAAAGAAAATCAATCTGTGACCTTGAGGCTCCACTTTTGTAAATGATGAGATGCTCATCTCTCTTCTTGAAACAAGTGTTTGCAATCTTAAAATCATACGCCAATGAAAAATCAAGAAGAGTTTGTCCTTCATTGTTTAGCTTTCCAAAACCAAAACCACCATGCACCCTCGCATACTGACCAGCTTACCTCCCGACATGCCCATTAAAGTCTCCTCCAATAAAAATCTTTTCACTGTGGTATGTGTCGAATCAACCCCTCCAGATCCTCCTAAAATAATTCCTTAAGAGTGGCTTCTGTCCCGACTTGCGGCGCAAAAGGGATAGATATCCTTAGCTTCTTCTCTAGTCATGTGAAAAGTCCAAGAAAAATTATGAAGTAATCAAGTGCTTGTACTCAGTTTATTAATTTATTATATCTACAATACTAATGGAATACAGGATTAACTAGATCATTTTATTTTATTTTATTTAAAATTTGGGATTTCTTGTTTATTCAGAATTATCTCTTAGATTTGATTTGGATTAGGGTTTAGATTAATTTGGATTATCTTCTTTAGTTGAGATTACCAACAAATTCACAGGTAAGCAAAGTAAACACTTAGACCAATAATATGATATGTGCATAAAACTTAATAGCTGTATGACAATTTACCTTTTTTTTTTTAATATCCACTCCATGCCCAAAGAAAAGGATAAAATCGTTCAACTAAGAAACATGTATAAGAGATCCTGGATACGGATGAGTGTTTAAGAAACTAATTTGAAATAAGAATCATGTGCACTTATGACTCTATAAATAAAGTTCAAGCCAATATTAGCCAATAATTCCATTCTGAAGAGAAGAATGAAAGCACACCTCAGGTGCCATCCAGAATGCTGTCCCCTTGCACGACTTGATATCATTCAATTTGGTTGCCTGGAAAACACAACTCGCAGTAAGCAATATTGTAAAAAAGGAGAGAGAAAAAGATTGAAGAATATACAGGGTTCTATTATCTTTAATTAGATAAAAAGATTGAAGAATATACAGGGATCTATTATCTTTAATTGAAATAGAAGTACTACATGTGGAAAAGAGCGTTGAAAGAGTTAAATAAACTGAGGACAGGTAAAACCTTTGCCAATCCAAAATCTGCAAGCTTGACAGATCCATTTGCATCCACCAATATATTTGCACATTTAATATCCCTTAAATATATTAAGAAAAAGAAGTATATTAGTTACAAAGACAGCATGAATATTACATAAATAATACAGAAATGCAGGGAAATAACAGAGAAATCATGAGCTAAACTCAAGAGCATACTCCATTCATTTCAAAGTTATGTATATTTGATGGACCCAAAATTATTGGGCCCATGGTACTGAAAACCTCTAACAGAAGAAAGGAAGTAGAAAAGAAGGGACATAAGCATGAGGGGAGTAACTATTAGACGTCAGAGGTTGGAACTTATTCTAGAAGAGCCAAGCAAATAGCCTAACCATGCATGCTTAGTAGGAAGGGTTTAAGTTAGCAGATGGACAAAGTTTGATGGAGGGGGGTATTGTAAGGGGTCTGTGAAAGGTGAGTCAAGGGAGATTTTGGCTCTTGGTGGAGAACCTCTGACCTCCCGTAAGTTGATACCATAAATGTAACATCCAACTCTTTAAGAACCAATTTAGTCTAATAATTAATCACCTACTAGGCTATAAATTAATAAAGAAACTTATCATGAATTGTTCACAAATCAACTCATAACTAACTAAAACATCTATACTTAATAACATAATTCTTAATAAACAAATCAAATCTTTACATACCCTATATAAAATATCATGAGAGAAAGTTATGTTTATCCATAGGCTTACATTATAAGCCCATGCTTACGCTAAGCTACACATGATAACCACATTTCAAAGTTTCACATACCTGATATGCATACACATTAGTTTCTTTTTGTTTACTTTTCTTTTTTATTGTTTATATCCATGTGAGATTCAACAAAGTTTTACATTACCTGTTAAGGGTCTAACACAATCCTCCTCCTTTATCCAGATTTGGGACTGGCTATAAAATATAAGCGGAGTTTGAGCAGTGAATGTTTTATCAAATTGCTATAAGACCAGTAATTTTACATGGCAGTGAATGTTAGGCTTTGAGAGGATAACAAGAGTATAAAGTTGGAGTAACAGAGATGAGAACGTCGAGATGGATGTGTGGATATATACGTAAAGACAAAATTCAAAATGAGTGAATACAGGAAAAAGTGCGCGCGGCACCTATTGAAGAAAAAATAGTAGAAAATCATTTGAAATGATTCGACCATATACAAAAAAGATCACGGGAGACACTTGTGAAACAAGTGAAACAAATGACTTTGATCCCTATCAAGAAAGGTAGAGGAAGACTGAAGAGAACACTTTTGAAAGTTGTTGAGCGAGACCTTTTAATTAACAATATTTCTAAAAACTTAATAAATGATAGAACACAATGGTATCATATAATTCATATAGTCGACCCCACCTAATGGGATAAGGCTTGTTGTTGTTGCTATTGTTGTACTTTTCTTTTTTAACTTGAATCTTTCAATTCCTATTTGTTTCTGTATTCTGGTATAGGAATTACAGCTTCTTTATAGATAATTAAATCACACATTTTGGAAGGTTCCATCAACGTTACAAAAGAAACAATTCATTAATACCTGTGAATCACATTTCGATCATGAAGATACTTTAAACCATGTAGAATCTGTCTCGTGTAGGCAGATACTTGGGAGTCTCGAAGATTGTACCGCCGATAAAGGTTTGCAAGGGAACCTTTAGTCACAAGCTCAAGAAAGATATACAGCTTTGATTGATCCTGCAATACACAAGAAGCTGAATGTAGAGTGCAAACTACGGTTCCACAATTTGTAACTGATAGGATCATTAACATGTGACAAGCTTTAGAATGCCACAAATCATCTATTGAGAGAATAGTAAAGCATATAGCCCCTCAATTATAGTGGACAAAATCTGAGACCGGACAAAGTGATTAATGCAGCAGCACAATTGAAACTAATTGATGGGATCATTAGCATGTGTCATGTTTGGCAATGCAACAAATCCTCAATTGCTACAACTTGTCTTTGATATAAAAACAAATCTCTTGAAACTAATGTTATTTTTACAAGATGGCATAACAGCACAGCAAAATGGTAATACTGTAATACCTCAAAAGCTAAAACTACAGTGGCATTTGATTGACTTGGAATGATATTTTTTATGTCACATTGTATTGCATTCAGCTACGCATCATCCGATTAATTGTAATCGCACATAAAATAGAAGGGCTTCAAATGTAGCAAAGTCAAACCAAGCATCATATAAATTTTACTCAATACAGCAGAACTACTCAAATTTCGTCACACACTAAGGTCTCTTAGATTTGAAAATATAGATTCCTTTCTCCCACTAAAGCACAACCCACTTCTTCAACTCAATAAATAAATAAAAATCCAGTAAGTGTTTGAGATGCACAAAACAAACCATGACCTTAACATACTCTATAAAAGCAATATAACAATGGTAAACAGCAAGAATAATATCAAATAGTATGACATAAAAGGGAATGGAAGAACAGAAAAGGAAGAAATTACCATTTCTGTGCCATAGTATTGAACTATATTCTCATGTTCAAACTGACTCAAAAGAGCAATTTCCTGAGACAGGGGGGGAGAGAGAGGAGGTGAAAGCAAAATATGAGAAGAATTTGCAGGAGAAATACCAAGGACACAGTAAATGGAGATTGTCTTACAAGGAAGAATGATATTTAGGCAAGAAATTTTTTCTTTTTCTTCAAACAAAAAAAAGAACTCATTTACAAAAGATATCAAGTAATTAAAAGAGAAAATTGAGCTTCACTAACCTGCTCCAGGCAACAGACACTTTGCCTTCCCTGGTCATCTTGATCAAGCAGTGAAACTTCCTTTACAGCAAAAAAGAATCCATCTCTACAATCATAATCAAAAGATACCAAAAAAGAATTTGTAGTTAGCCTAAAAGTAAAATGAAATTGACCGCTCAATTACAGCCACAACGACAGACCACACGCAGACACAGTGAAACTTTGTTTATCTGTAGCTTTGCTCTTGAGCCAAGCCAAGCCACACATCACCAAGGAAGAAGGATGCCAACTAAAAACATTGCATTTAAGACAACTTTAATTTGAAAAAAATCAGCCATTATATAGCAGTTATAAGATCCAGGCCCATGCAAAATAGCTCATTTACGTTTTTTTTTTTTTTAATTTCCAACAGGTCACAATTACTGTTTTAAATTGATCTATGTTCCCAACTTAAGTAAGAAAATGGACAACCTTAATTTCAGCGTAGAATAAAGGGGGAAACAATAATTCTCTAATAATGCTTATAAGCATTTCCTAATCATGATCTGCACTATAACAATTAGTCGAATAACGTTTCTGAAAGACCAAATCGAATTTTATCAATACTATCAAAAATTATTGGAGCTCCATAAACAGGCTTCACATGAGAAGGGAGACTAGGAGGCAAAGAGCCATTGGCAGCATGGGGAACCGAGAAAACTTAAAGTGCAAAACATAAAAGCCATTGTAACGTTTGAAGCTAGGGTTATCAACTTCCAACATATGGATGAGGCATGACACAAATGCAAACACTTATGATTAAAAAATGCACTCTCAAGAGCATCCACGAAACAGACAATGCCCAAGTAATGAGTAGAGCAGTAGTCAAGTAAAGCATTGGTCCAAAAGAAAGCTATTAAGACAAGCTTATTTCATTTCTTATATAATGAACAAGTAATAATGAGATTTAGAAATATAGATATCATTTATCCACAAGGTTGTGGCCCATAACCAGGTTTAAGGACAATACTTAAATGTACTCTCTCAAGACGTTTGTTATCAAATTGTTCAATTAAATTATAGATGCCTACTATGTCGAAGAAAAATTATAGATGCCTGCTACGTTTTTTGGATGACCCTATAATGTGAAGTTCAAAGATTCTGTCCAGATGTTATGGTTCAACTGAAGACACTCAAAGAAACTGCAAGTTTTTCTGTAAACTGTATTCTCCATTACCTTCATCAACAGGAAGACAAGGTTACAGACAACAACAATAAAGAACGAATATAACAGCCATTTTTTATGCCGGGGGGGCCACTAAATGGCTGTTATAACGAACATGGGGATTGAGAAGGTGAACAAGGTTTGAACACTTACTCAGAAATTCCTTCATAGACTGATCCGAACGAACCACGTCCCAAAAGCTCACCCTTTTCCCAGTTCGTAATTCTGCGCCTGAATCTTCCGTTGGGAGATATATTATTCGATGGAGGATCCGTGAAACTGCTAGAAGAATCATCTTCGTTTGACGTGGTGAATGAACACGATGCGGATAACTGAGCAACGATCTCCGCAATCCTTGCTGCATTAACATCCTCTTCTCCTCTCGGACTTACCTTGCCTTCAACTACCGGTTCTTCTTTTTCCTCTTTATTTACTTCTCCTCGCCCCGCTTCCCTGCGTATTACTTCATTATTATCGGAAAAGTTCAACTCCCCGTCATTTCCTGAAGGTTGTCTTTCATCTTGCGGAGCTAAATCCCTTAAAATATCCCAAGTAGAGCAAGTGTTATCAATAACCGGTAGCCTCGCTCCAGGCGGTGGGTTTAACATCGGCGGACGGATTCCTTTTATACCTACTCCGACACTGGTTCCACAAACACCATCACCAGCAATGCAGCACCCACTAGTCTCAGCAGGCTCGCCTTGAGTTGACTCAGCTATACATCTACCCGTAACCCTTTCTTCGAGTTTGTAACCTAATTTACCCACTACTGGACTCTCGTCCTGTAATTCCTCGTTCTCCTGACCATCTAGCTCGTCCGCCTTCGAACTTAGCGTAATATCCGAAGACGAGCTAATTTTCATAGCCTCCCAAGCCGCCGCAGGAATGGCGAAGTCTTCAGGTCCTGAAAGCCCCAAATCTCTGCATATGCGATCAACCTCACCCTCACCTCCCGCGATTCGGAAGCTGGTTCGATCACAGAACTCCGTTGATCGTGTGTAGAGGGATCCACAGGAGTTGTCTAGAGACGACGAAGATGACCCAGCATCATACTCAGCGTACTTGACGGCATTGCGGCGATCGAGCCGGGGTTTTCTTCGGGCTTTATTCGAGTCCATGCCCTTGTTTTGCTTTCTGAGACCCAAAAACCGAGGTAGATGATGCATAGAGAACCAATTCCATCTAAAAGCATGGCATGGGTTTTGATCAGGAATTGAGTTCAGGATCTTTTGGAAATTGTGTGACCATATGATTCTTCTTCTGAGAAAATTGAAGAAATCTGAACTCGTGCTTCCCAGGCTGCTAAGAGAAAAATGGCTGTTAAGGCTTCGTCGGAGGGCGATGAGGGGTAAAAGCTCACCATAGACAACCCCAGCCGACACAGGGATGCTATGTGAAGTGAAAACGAAAAGTGAGCTGAAGATGGACCAACCGGTGAACGCCATCGCCAAAAAAAAAAAACAAAAAACAAAAATGGGTAAAACGCGGCACCACGTCGACCTATTCGGATTGCGCACGGGGCTTTTCTTGTCCACCTGGATTAAAATAGCCGCATCTAGTTCGCATATGCATTAAGTTAATCACATACTTTCCTTCTCCAACCTTCAATAAAAAAAAAAAGTAAATGAGAGGACCTATAATAAAAATTTAGTGAGATAATTTATTCATAAAATTTAAAAAATATTCTCTCTTAACGTCATAAATAAAATCAAAGGGAGTATGCTCAAAAATCAAACTTGTAAATTATAAATTATTTACAAGTAAATACATTGAATTTTTAAAATTATTCTGCATGGTCAGAGTCTTTCTCTGAAAATAAATGTGATGATTTTGATGCACATGAAACAAACAATTTAATTGTATTGGTTTTTTGAAATATTTATTTCATTAGTGTTAATATTAATTTTTCATGTACTAAATTAGTCCCATTCATGCTCATAAGATTACGCATGTATCCAAAAAATGCTCACACAACGCACAAAACTACCAAACTATTACAGTGCGTGGGCTGACATTCTATTTTCAGTGAAGTCCCTTGAGATTAAAACAAGATTTTCCTAATTTAAGAATCTGAAAAAAAATTAAGATCATTATGAAGTAATTGAGTGAAATTCTCCCTTGATATTTTAGGGGGAAGTCGTCCTATAAAAACTAAATCAAGTGACAAGCATATTTATATTTAAGGCATCTAATTTGTATAGGTTCCGATGTCATTATTATGAATTAAATACAAAACAACTAAAATGCTCCTTGAAGATTTTAAAGACGTGAAAAAAAGGATTGAAGGACTGCGAGAAAAATATTTACCTATAGTACTGCAAAGTGTGAAACGGGCAATACTGTAAACTCCTTTTTCCCCTCCCTAAAAGCTTCGAGGGACATTTTGTTATTTATAATTCAAAATAATCCTCAACAAGAGCCTCTTTATAAGAAATTGAGCACATCTTTAGTGACACATATGTTCATCGTGTGGTCTTTTATAGGTTATATTTTCACATTATAAATCACAGAGCTAGTGTCATGTGGTCGATGCACTTGCTTTCAGTCGGTTGGTGTTTCGTTTTCATACATAACCATTGTATGTGCTTACTAGTTAGTTATTGTCAAAGCTTTATAGGATTAGAGTCAGGTCCAAAAAAACCTAAAGGATTAGGAAATGAATAACTTCAAAGAATTTGCAACTTCATTTTCCACACTAAATTGATTAATTTGCCTACCAAAGTTGTTTGTTCGCATGTCTTTAATTGATTTTATTTTTAGTGTTGTTGTCATAGTAAATAAAGTTGTAAATTTCACATACTGAAGTTATTTATTTCTCATACTAAAGTAGTTAATTTACCTACCAGAATTATTTGTTTAAATAATTTAAATTGATTTTATTCTTAATGTTGTTAACATGACAAATGAAGATGCAAATTTTTCATACTATAATTGTTCATTTTCCATACTGAAATAGTTAATTTGCCTATTAGAGTTGTTTGTTCGCATGATTTCAATTGATTTTATTCGTAGTGCTGTTATCATGGTAAATGAAATTGCAAATATTTCATACTAAAGTTGTTTATTACCCTCCAACAATTGTTCATTGTCTAATTGCATAGGAACGCAATTTAAGATTTAATGATGATATTCTTACAAAATTTATAGACAATAGCAATCTAGAATAAATAAAGCTTCAACTCTTATATAAAATTAAATTACAAGTGACAATTATTCATCATAATTAAAAATTTTAAAATACAAAATCTCTAATTTCTTGAAGATTTGGATCCGTCGCAAGACGTCTTCGATTGTCATGGACATGAGAATAGAGAACATACACATAACATAAAACTCAAGGTGGCTGAATTGAATCTAAGTCAGATGAAACGTCAGAAAAGAAAAGGCTGTAAAATTAACAGAAAATGTCCAAACTAATGTAAGAAGTTGATGAAGGAGAAGCGCTAGGCTATAGACACAGAGGCCAAACTTCAAAACCAGGCCAAACTTCAAAACCAAGCATATAAAACTTAACGTAAAGAACTAGAGAAGGTGAGAAAGAATGAGGGTTTTATTAGTTTCATTCAAGTAATCTTGAGAAAGACTTAGATTGTTGTTAAGGCTTAGGTCAATGTAGTTGAACACTAAAGGAGGTTGATCTAAAGAATCTTTTCTCTTTCAATATGGACAATTGTGCCATTTTCCATTGAATTTTAATTTCAATTTAGTATCCCAAACTTGCAGCGAAATCTTTTCTCTTTCAATAGGGTTATCTTTATTATTATCTCTAATCAAGGGGTCCTCAGTGAAATTTTCCCATCTTAATATGGTATCAAAAGCCTAAGTTGATTTAGGCCTAACTAGTGCCAAGAGTTTCAATTCAAATAAGAAAGAACATTGGGTTGGTGATTCAAGAACCATTACGTGCTAAGAGGAGGGTTTCCTCTTTGCATCATAAATTCAAGACCTCGGCTCAAAAAACAAGACCTAGTCAAAGAATCAGACCTTACTACTCATTTACTGCTTGTTGCCTTAATCAAAAGATGTACTGTCATGCACTTGACTCATCATCTAAAGATAACTTTAATGGAAAATGATAAGAGAGAATCAATGTTCATGATGGCCAAAAATGTCTCTGATTTCATTGTTAAAGTCCTTATTGTCTCACATAAGCGCATGATACTAGACAGCTTTCTTGATCCCTTAATCATGAATGAAGAATTCGATAATGTCTGTTGATTTCCACCACCAAGAAGATGCGACGATGCCGTAGAAAATTTATGGTACAAGATAAAGAAGATGCAAAGGAAAAAGGAGATTTAATCACCGATGGAAAACTTCCCTACAAAAATGGTGAAGTTCTTGAAGCCAAACAAGGCCATTATTGTCCATTCTCTCTTTATAGTTAGTTGTGAGGATTCACATCTTTGTTGCCGCGCTCTATAGCAAACCTCACAGAAAGTGGAGGCAAATTGATCGGGCTAAAGGACTTCATCGAGGTATATCAACCATCTAATGGAGCCAAGATCATACGACAATGAGTCTTCTTAGTCAGTTAGACTTTTATTGGTATTCTCTCCTCCATCGATCTTCCTAATGATTGTTTTCTTCATGCCTTTATTTTACTATATGGTTTTGTCTTGTTCAATATTTGAAAATAGCAAGTATACTATAAAGTTAGAGTTGGACTCTATCTTGGAAAAAAAAAAGGCAAGGGTTTTAAAAGAGGAGCTTGAAAAGGTTATGTCCACTTGTAAAAAATGGTGTAAAAATCTTGGAACTTTTAAAGCTATCAGTGCTTTCATGGATTTAATGAATTTGGTTGCTTAAAGTCATAAAAGAGATGTTTAAAGTAAAGTTTTAGGCATGAGTTCAAGTTCTTTTTCATAAGATAGTGTAGACGTACTACGTGCAAGAATCAAAGCAAAGAAGAATGTAATGTAAGGATTATTGTGACAATATGATTTTTTTTTATATGCACGGTGGATTGGGACAAAAGATGAGAACCATATGAATTTCCTAAGGAATTGTATAAGGGACAACCTGCTGAATATGACTTTAAAGGCATTGCATGTAATATCAGCTAATTTTCTCCTTATTATTAACCATAATACCGTACATTATCAATGTAATCAGGGACTAAGTACCCTAGTCACCTTACCATGGTAAATTAAAAGATTTAACAATTATTAAAAAGAGCTAACCATAATAGAAAATAGAAAAGGAAAAGACTAAGGTTAAAGTTTTACTATGGTTGATAAAATTAAACTTACATATATAAATCAATATAAAGCCTGTGTGTGTGCTTTACTGTAAGATCTATCTTACTAATCTCTAATTAACTCCAAAATCAAAGTAATCAAGGGCTAAGCCATATGGATTACCAAGTTTATAAACTTTACAATAATGGAATTTCAAGTTTTCAAATTTTTCAAAATACTTAAATATATTTGTACAAATAAAAAATAGAGTAGAAAATGTATGCAAAAGCATAGGATACTATTTTATATCAAGTATTTGCATTTTAGTTAGAAAACAGCAAAACAGTACATAAAAACAGAGTTGCACTACTGCTTGTGGTGTGTGTGCTGCAACACATTTGCCTCTATACCATGCATCACGGCATAAGTTTCATACGTCTCGGTACATTGCACAATTTGACAGCATTGTTACTGTCTTGTGATAACAACTGAGGCAAACTTTCGACACACCTAATTAAAGCAATCTATGTATATATAGAGAGCTTCCTCTTAGCTTTAGTTAACGACATTGGTTTCACAATTAAATTATTTCTTAGTAAAAAATTAGACACAATTTTCTTAACTCACTTTTTTTTACATCTCACACAACTTAGGTGCCTAAATCTTACTCTTAATGCCAAAAGCCTAATTTACACCTTAGACCAAACTCAATAGGCTGTAATGGAGATGCAATACACCATATCACAAATTCAATACATTAAATATATTTTCAATACTCAACCCCTTAATTACAAAAATAAAAGGGGGAGCCTCAAATTTACAATCATTATAATCATTCTACAATAATCATATTTTTCTTACTCTTAAATTGCACTAGTATTTTGACCCTTTTTAGATCTCACAATTTATACATAAACACAACCTAGGGCCTAAAATACATGGTTTAATATTAACTGACACATAATGCAAGTACGCACATAGAAAATTTCTAGTTGGCAATATCATCAATAATTATACACATACACAACTCAAAATAAAAGAGGCTTATCTTTAGGATCAAAATCCCAAGCCTCAATTTGTTTCCCTCCATCTTGTCCTAATGAGTTAGCTTTTGTAATATTGAAGAAAAAGGGGCGAGTATAACCACTCAATAACCAAGGTCTATTTAACTTATACTAATATATGTTAATCAATTTAAATGCAAGAGGCAATCAATCATTTCACACATGTCTTTCT